CAAACACAGACCGGGTGCTGCGAGAACACAGCAGCAAATCGGGCTCCCAACACCTCCAAACCTTTTCCATCAGAGGATCCCAGAATGGTTTGGGCTGGATGGGACCTTAAAGCCCACCCAGTGCCACCCCTGCCATGGCAGGGACACCTTCCCCTGTCCCAGGCTGCTCCAAACCCATCCAGCCCAGCCTGGGGCACTGCCAGGGATCCAGGGCCAGCCTCCCTGGGTACCCTGCTCCTGCATCTCCTCATCCTCACAGGCACCAGCTCCTTCCCAATATCCCACCTAGCCCTGCCCTCCGGTGTTTTTAATCCATTCCCCTTCATCCCATCACTAAATCCCCCTGTCCAAAGTCCCTTTCCATGCATTTCCTGGCCCGTGCACAGGACCCCAAAGGCAGGCAGGAGAAGGGGCTGTGTCACCCTCAAAACATGTGAAAAATCAAACTGGGAGTTGCTTATCTCTTACACCATCCTTGCTCTTCCCTTTAACACCTCGAGGCTGCCCTCCTGAGATCTGCAGCAGCAGGAATGTGTCATCTGCACCCAGTGATCCAACAGTCCTAACAACTCTGGGTATTATTGCTCTTAAATCTACCCCTTAATCCTATAATGCCATGAAATACCACTGAATCAGAGCTTAGCAGGATTCCAGAGAGCAACAGACTTTTAAAGAGATAATGAGAACTCCACATTTATATTGGATAGGATTGAAAGGAGAGAATGGGGGGGAGGCAGAATGTACCAGATGGGCAGATTATTTCATAGTTTCCCTTAATATGATTTCTTCAACCTGAAGCATCTGGTAATTCCACTATCAGAGATTAGATGCTGGATAAGATGGACAGGCAGGCTGATCTAACAAAGCAATTTTATTTCCTGGCTCTACATAGGAGAGGTTCCCATTAAATCCTGTATCACAGGATAAAACAGGTGCATGAAATGTTGTATCCAAGCACGGAATGTTTGCAGGGATCCCAGGTAAATATGCTTCACTTTCAATATAGAAATCAACACATCTCCCAAACCCCCCATCCTCCCCAGGCAGGCTGTGAGTGCTGAGAATGGATAAACAATAAAACTCACTCAGCAGCCTTGTCCTTCAGAGCCTTTGGCAGAAAATTGAATAAAATCTCTCCAGCTAATTTTTGTGGAGATTTGTGTACAAGTCCTGCAGGCAGCACCTTGGGTACTTCCAATCTGGAAGCAGAGATTGTTTTCCACAACATGCAGGAATCTAATCTAAAGCCAAAAAACCCAATCAAGCATGACAGAAACATGTTCCCAGTGCCCTTCTCATTATGGCACTGCTTGGCAGCAAGTTCTGGAATAACTCCCCCCAAAGCACCAGTCCTGCCTTATTCAGCCCAAGGAAGAGCTTTCCCAGCCATCCCAACTGGAATCTGTGACTCAGCTCACTGGGAAATCTGGTGCACACCCAGCAGAAGCTTTCCTGCTCACTGAGGTCAGGATCAGGAGCACTGTAAGGTCCAGGTGTGACAGGCACAGCTCTGGAATCAGCTCCACACGGCTCATCCCACTGGGAACCAGCCCAGGGCAAACCCCTCTCCCTGCACTGGGGAGAGATTCCAGCTCCCAGCACAGCTGAGCAGCCCCAGCAAGAATGGGGAAAGGGAAAAGAGAGGGGAAATGGAACAGGAAAGGAAAAGGGGAAAGGGAAAAGAGAGGGGAAAGGGAACAGGAAAGGAAAAGGGGAAAGGGAAAAGAGAGGGGAAATGGAACAGGAAAGGAAAAGGGGAAAGGGAAAAGAGAGGGGAAAGGGAACAGGAAAGGGGAAGGGGAAAGAGGATGAGGGAAGAGGAGGAAAAAAAAAAGGAAAGGGAAAAAAAAAAGTGGGGAGGGGAAAGAGAAAGGGAGAAGGGAAGAGAAGGGGAAGGAGAAAGGGGAGGAAGGAGGAAGGGGAAGGGGGAAAGGGAAGGGATAAGTGATGGGGAGAGGAGAAAAGAAAAGGGGAAGGAAATTGCTCAACAAAAGCAAAGATGATAATCCAAACTACCAGAAAGTGACACCACAATTCCCCAAATCAGGGCAAGCAAGATATTCTGCCACAGCTCCATGTGCAGAGAAAGACCTCGCCTCCCGAGCATCATCCTCACACCTCTGGGACCATTTTCCCAGGGAAACTCCCTCCTTTCTCTGCCTCTGGAGGACTGAGAGGCCCTGAGCTGTGAGCTGGGCTGGCTCCTCCTCACCAACAGCACCTGAAATCACTCAGAGCAGGGCTGTCTGAGTCCCTGAACCCTCAGTGATGCTGACCACGAGGTGCAGGGAGCCTGGAGACTCAAAAATATACACAAAACGTGCCAAGCTTCCCCTGAACCCTCCTTGCTCCAGCTGCCTTTGGCCACAGGTACAAAAGAGGAGCAGGAGAAGGGCTCAGAGCTCAGGTGCAGCACGGCTCAGCACTCAGGACAGTGATACTCGACCACACTAAACAGGGAAAGTTTTTCCTGAAAAACAGGGAAAAAATGGCAGGGCTGTGGAGTGCCAGCCCGTGCCAGGACCAGTCCCAGCCCATTGGCATTCCAGACGCTCTGCAGCCTTTAGCTGAAGCACACAGGCTCCACTATTACATTTAAAACTACGACATGCTTTGTAATGCTTATCAGCTGGAGGGTTTTCAACAGTTTTTCCCCTCCTAATGCTGCAATTTCAAAGCCATTTAGGCTAATTTCCCTTGACTTGAATCTATTTTAATCAGAGACCAGGATACTTGACTTAAATGGTTTGTGTTCAACCCTCCATAAAATCAGCCATAAAACTTTATGCAGTAAATAGCAAGGGAACCTTGAAGCCAAAGGTAGGAAGAGGTGAAACTTTCCAAATTCTCCAGCAAACTGCAGCCTATTACACACCAGACCAACTGCTCTCCTACAATATCAAGACAATTGATCCCCAACACAGAAAGAAAACCAATAAACCAAACACACTCCTGAAGTTCTTATATAGATAAAATTGCACACTAAGTTGTTCAGCTGCACTCAGTACCCACAGATCCTCTCCCAAGCCTCAGCCCAGCTCCAAACTGAAGCATTTTTAATGTACTGCAGTGCCCTGTCCTCTCCCCCAGTCTCCCATGGAATGATGGAGAGTGGAACTGAGGAAAAATACAACGCAAGCCTGAGAATGTCAGAATTAATCCTTTTCTTCCCCCAAAATCTGCAAAGAAACATTATTTCTCAAATTAATTCTCGCCAAGTAATGCTGGCTCTGCTGGAAGTCAGAGCTGTGGATGAGAAATGGAAATCAGCAGCTCAGCCCCAGGTAGGTGCTGGGGAAGGTCTCGCTCCAAGGATCCGGCTTTGTGCTGGGATTCGCATATCACAGAGACAGAGGTGTCTCTGCATCTGTACCTGCAACTCAGCCTGGCTGAACCTGCAACAGCAACACGCAGGCAGGGCCTTCACTGCTCTGGAAACTCAGCCAGGGATTTCTGCTGGCAGCGGTGGGCAGCCCTGGGGGCTCCGAGGGGCTGCTCGGAACTGGGGCAGCACCCGGAGAGGTGAAGGAACAGGAGCTGGAGCTGTCCCTGGGACAGGGGAACAGGAGATGTCCCTGGGACAGGGGACAGGAGCTGGAGCTGTCCCTGGGACAGGGGGGACAGGAGATGTCCCTGGGACAGGGGGGACAGGAGATGTCCCTGGGACAGGGGAACAGGAGCTGTCCCTGGGACAGGGGGGACAGGAGATGTCCCTGGGACAGGGGGGACAGGAGATGTCCCTGGGACAGGGGGGACAGGAGATGTCCCTGGGACAGAGGGGACAGGAGCTGCCTGGACAATCTGGGACACAGAGCTGCACCCCTGGCTGATGGTTTTCAATGCTTTACAGATGCCAGGCAGCAGCTTTGTCACTGCCCCAATGTCACAGGCATTGGACATGGATCTTTCACAATCTAAACCTTCCTCAGCTCATTTTTTTTATCAGGGATTTCACTCCAGGCCTGGACAAACTGACACTTTCCTATTTTGAGGAACACTCTGGCAGCCATGTCTAAAATTAACCTTCACAAAGATAAACTGGCAGCGTGTCTTTCCTCATCCTCTCAACAAAATGATGTGTCACCTCCTCTAAAGCCTGTTCTCCTGTGCTGCTTGGCAGGTAAACATCACCAGCACCTTAAAAGCTCAATCACAAAAGGAGAGGAAGGATATTGCCACTGTAGAAAATCACTTTAAAGGGCCAGATTTCCAATGGGAGAAGCCAGAGTGTCCCTGGAGGATCCCTGTGCTGGGAGGAGCCCGAGGACAGCCCAAGGGCCCTGGAGGTCCTGCAGGGACTGGAAGGAGCTGACAAGAAGGGAGGGAGGGAGAATCTCTGCACATTTTACAGCGCATTAAACACCAAAAGCTCAGTGAAAGCAGAGCTGAGCTCCTGATGGCATCACTTCCACCCAAAATCATGAACTGCTTTAGGAAAACAGAGACAGACTGGGAAGAAATTCACTTTTTTTTCCCTGATAAATCATCTTCATGAGCTCTCTCACTCTCTCCAAGTACCTGGAACCAGCGTGGGGCCAGGTGGGGATCAGTTTCTTCTCCCAGGCATCGACTGACAGGACAAGGGGAAACAGCCTCAAGTTGTGCCAGGAGAGGTTTAGGCTGGATTTCAGGAATTGTTTCCTGACAAAAAGGGTGGCCAGGCCCTGGCACAGCTGCCCAGGGCAGTGCATCCCCACCCCTGCAGAGTTTAACAGCTCTGAGGATGTGGCACTTGGGGACACAGGGCAGTGGTGGCCTTGGCAGTGCTGGGGACTGGCTGGACTCAATAACCTCTGAGGGCTTTTCCAGCCTCGGTGATCCTGTGATTCCACCAGCTCATTCCAGCCCAAGCACACCAGCTTCTCATCCCTGAGCAGGGCCCTGGGAACAACGAGGAAAGAGCCAAGAGCACCAAAGCTGGGTGGGAAAGCCAGCAGCACTCCTGGCTCTGGGCTGCCACTTGAACACAAACATTCCCTCCTGGAGCACCCGGCACGTACTTGGTTGGGCGATAATCCGGGATGGAGCGATCCAAGGAAATCTTCTCGCTGAGGTAGGAGTTGTAGCCATACTTCTCGTGGGGTCCCTTGGCTTTCTCTTCCTCCTCGGGGGACAGGGTGGCTGGGAGGCCACCCTTGCCACGGCCACCATAGCCCTCAATGAGACCAAGGGACTTGGACAAACCTGGGGGGAAAACAAAAACACCATCCCTGGTGAAACCCATCCCTGGTAAAACCAATCCCAGGTGAAACCTCATCCCAGGTAAAACCCATCCCTGGTAAAACCAATCCCAGGTGAAACCTCATCCCAGGTAAAACCCATCCCTGGTAAAACCCATCCCAGGTGAAACCCATCCCAGGTAAAACCAATCCCTGGTAAAACCCATCCCAGATAAAACCAATCCCTGGTAAAACCCATCCCAGGTAAAACCCATCCCTGGTAAAACCAATCCCAGGTAAAACCAATCCCAGGTAAAACCCATCCCTGGTAAAACCAATCCCTGGTAAAACCCATCCCAGGTAAAACCCATCCCAGGTGAAACCCATGTCTGTTATTTCCAACTCCCAAAGAGAAAAAAAGCTGCTCTAAAAATCCTGGTTTTTTTGTGTTCCTGGCTGTTTTGGGTTGGTTTCCTGCAAACATTCCATGTCCTCCTCCCTTGGCCCAATTCTGGAATAAAAATGACTCAAATCCTGCAATTCCTCCTGGCTCAGGCACCCTGCCCCTGGCAGCCCTGCCCCTGGTGTGAGCTGATAACCTGTCCCAGGGCCTGTGTAGATATTTACTTGGTGGGGAGGTTATTCAGGCTCCTTCCCACTCTCAGAGAGGTAATTACATGGAAGGTTAGATGTCCCCAGGAGAAGGATAGGTTGAACACAGAGCAGGAATAAAACAGGGTTGGTTAAGTGCCAGCTGAATGAATTTTAGCTCAGTGTGAACAGTGAGCAGCATACAAATGGCAGGGATTTAAAAACAATTTCCCCTCAAAGCTTTCTTATCTTTTAAAGTACAGCGTTCCCAGACCCTTATCAAGGGGAATTATTTATTTATATCTGCATAGCTGAAGGAAATAGGCAAAGTTCAAAATGAGCTGCACATAAAGAGCTCCATGGATGAGTTGGTGGTGGCTGTGGGAAGCCAGGTCCACGCTCATGTTATTATTTATTAGACAAGACACCTGGAATTTTAATATTTTTTCATTAGCAGAGATTCACTCTGTTTTTGTCAGAGACATAGGAATAACAATGATGGATTTCAGTTTGCTTTTCTGTGTTTTCGATAACGAAAGACATCAGGGCACATTCCCATTGTTTCCATGGCAGAGCCCTGACTGAGAACAGGACAGATTTTGTCACCTCTGAAGCTTCTCAAGGGACAATAACCTCGAGGCTGGTCCAGCTCTCAAACCTACCACTGACTTCCATTGTCCTGGACAAAACACCCCTGCCTCCCCACAGATTTAAATACTTTGTTCCTCAAAAAGTAGCATTGAGAGACACGAAAAAATCAGCTAGGAATGTAAATCACAGCTGGAAGCACAGTCTGAAGAATTATTATTATTATTCTTATTCCTTCCAACAAGGAAGCATGCACCATCCTTCTCTGCTCCATCAGAGCCCCTCTGACCACGCTGGGCTTGGTTAGACTTTATTTAATAACAAGAAATCAGCTGTCAGGACCCCCAGGCTGTGCTCCAGCTCCAGGCTGAGCAGGAGCCAGGCCACCACTCAGGAGGGATGGGAAAGGTGGCACTTTGTGGCCTGCAGAAGCTCAACTTCCAGGAGCAGAACCACAGGAACAAGTATGGAAGCAGGAATAGAACAGAACCCACAAAAACACAAGCAAACAGTTTTTGAACCCCATTCAAAGGTTATAAATAATATTTAGCATTTTTATTTTTGTGAGGAATCTGTTATTTCCAGCTCGTGTCTCTATAGCAAGCTGTTAGTGTTTGTGCTTTCCTCTAATGCACACTCCTGTTTTCCTTCTGAAAACATTTCCTCTCAGTATAGACTGGCCTGCTGGAAAGGGGAAATTCGCTGCCATTTGGCAAGATAAGAAATGAAGAAATACCAGTGTAAGTGCAGACATCATCAGTACAAAAGTGGCTGCTCAGATTTGGGGCTGAGTTCTGTGGGTATGGGGGAGGTTACACAGCTGGGCACCCCCTCACAGGGAAGACACTGCCCAAAATTGCCTTTCCCAAACCCAGGATGTCATTATGGTGTGAACATGGCTTCAGAGAGAGAAACTCTGGGTTTGCAAGCGCATCCTTAGCAAGTATGTACAAGCCTCATCCCAATTAACTGCATTTACTGAGCTGGGAACTCACTAATTACTTCTTAAGGTCAAGAAAGTCCATTTGGCAGGGGTTTGCTTGGCACATTTAACTTCTGTGCTCAGACACTGTCCTCACTGGGTGCCCAAGGCCATTCACTGCTGCTTTTGGGGTGTGCTCTCGGTCCTGTCAGACACACAGGGCACCCCAGAGGGTGTTTGTGCCCTGCAAACTCCTTCCATCTGTTTGTGCCCTGCAAACTCCTTCCATCTGCTTGTGCCCTGCAAACTCCTTCCATCTGCTTGTGCTCTGCCAATGGCCCGTAGGGGTGACACAGCCAAAGCCAGAAATAAAGGAGCTCATTTGCTCATCAGAGAGAAATATTCTCCACTGCACTGCCTCTGTTCCTGCACGATCTGCACTCTCCTGACGAGCACAGCAGCCACAGGTCTGAGGTGCTGTGTGTAATGAGGTGCTGCTGGAAGGAGCACAGGAGCACAACAGGACAAAACCCTGCCATTGTCCCAGTGTGACTCAGGCTGTGTGGGGGAGGAAGAGCTTTGTGTGCATTCAAGGACTCTGCTTCCAACCCCAGCTCGCTGAAACCACTCGAGTGCTCAAGGAGAGCACGAGCTGAGCTGCTTTGGCTGAAGGAGTGAGGCTGGAGCTCACTCTGCAGCATCCACGCACATCTGTGGATGGGTTCACTGCTCAGCCTTGGGAACAGCTCCTCAGAGACCCCAGATCTGTGACTGTTTAACTCTGTGTTTCCATAGAGAGCTTCTGATGACAGGCACCGAGTGCTTTAAAAACATCATTAACACCAAAGCGCTCCTGAGAGTGCACACTGAATACAGGACTGGGAGTTTCAGCTACCCAGAGTGGGATTGGCCTCGATCCTTTTGTACAACCCTTGGTACAACAGGGTGCACAGTACAATAGGGTCTCGGTCCCATTGTGCTTGGGCTCCCAAAGAGCTCGGGAGAAAACACACCTCGCTCCTTATCTAGATGTCAAACACAGAAAAGAACTTATCCAAGGTGACTTAGCTGAGGATTAGTGTTTACAGACAGAACCTGATTTCTTAGGAAATTAGGGAAAGGAAATTAGAGAGCCTGCCATGGCAGGGGGGTTTCCTCCAGAGGCCCTTCCCTCAGGAGTGACCCCACACAGTGACAGGTGACACCTGAGCACTGACCCCTGACCTCTGACCACCTCGCTCTGGGAGCCCAGCCCCGGCTCTGTGGCTGATGTGGAAGGAGCAGGTAAATGCAGAGGGCCTCAGCCACTCCAGCCCTTCACATGCTCCTGTTTTCAGCCAAAGAGGAGTGCCTGGAGCCATTCTTTGAGAGCAAGGTGTTCAGTGAGAAGAAGCCTTAGAGGTGGATCACGCACACCCAGGTGTGTGGTGTCCCCAAGGACCTCCCTCTGCCCTGTGGAAGAGATCCCCACACATCCTGGGGAGTGCCACCAGTGCCAGGACAGTGACACTCGCCACTGCAGCTTTCCCCTGGGGAGCAGAAAGCCAAGAGGGCTCACAAAGGTGGCCAAAGCTGGGTCTGGAGGAGCTGCCCCGTGTTCAGCAGCCAGCAGCACGGCTTGCCAGGCCAGCACAGCCCTCATCTCCATCCCCACAACACACACCTCCTCCTCCTCCTGCCTGTACTGCAGGGGCAAGGACACGGCAAACAGAACACGGAAAAATACAGCACAAAAATAATAAATGTATTTGTGCTGCTCAAGGCCCAGCTCCAAACTGATGCTAGCACTTTGTGGTACTAGAAATTACCTTGCTAAAAAAAAACCCAACAACAAAACATCCTTTCTAAAGGTCAGATTCACAGGAGGATACGTTTAGAAGGATACTATCACATCCTCTAGGCCAAATAATTTGTCATATTTTCAATACATGCTTGGAAGGGATGTGCTGTTCATTTCAACTAGACCAGCCTCCAAGATCAATTATTCTCAGACCAAGGCTTGTGAAACAGCCCACGTGCTACACCCCAAACCCCCAAAACCCCACCCCTGTTTGCCAGCACAGGCAGAGACCCTGCAGCCCGAGGAGAGGCCTGGGAGGGGAGTGGACACTGGAAAATAATCTGCATAAATTAAGGCTAAATGGACATTTTTGGCTGTGCTTTGATGTCCCAGCACGGCTGTTCTTCCATAACCCAGAGCAGAGATAAAAACCTCAGGATAAGAATATCTGACAGAAAAAAGGACAATATATGTTTACTAATTTTTCAAAAGGTCCCAGGGCAAATTCCCCGATTTTACACAGATTAATTAGCATAATTAGTTAAGTCATTAACTGTAAGGCCTGTGAAACACCGTGTTGTTTTATTGTTCATTTGTACTCAATGAGATCTTGATACATGACTGCCTTTCCTAAACACCACCTAGGTACAAATAACTAATGGCAGCAGCAGTAAATGAATATATTTAAGGTGACTTCAAGACTCTGGGACAAGGCTCTGTAAATCAGCACAGCTTTATCACCCTGAGGAGGGAGGTGAAGCTGCCCTGAGGGCTCTGTGGGCTCCTGCCCAGGGACTCCCCTGTGTCTGAGCTGGGATTATTGCCTGCCTGAGACTGCAGGCACTGAACAGAATTTCACCAAATCTGTTTTTATCTTTTGCAATGTCAAAACTCTGATCTGCAGCCAACGCTGGCTGCTGCTCTGCTGACTTATTTTTAAACACTCGCCAGCGTGTTATAAAATGAACATCCCTCCCTTCCTGAGGCTGGGGAGAGGAGCTGCTCCTCCTCCGGCAGCAGATCCCATCTGCTGCTCCTGGGACACTCAGGAGGGCAGGAGCTGCTGCCTCCAGCTGCTGGGGATCAGCCAAAGCTCCATCCTGGAGCCCTTTTCCAGCTGGGATCACTCTGGAGTCACCAGCAG